CCTCACCCGATAACGTTTTCTGTCACATTCAAACCCACATATTTGTAAATGTTATTACAATGAAAGTCTTATAAATATTTAATTTTTTTAACCTGCTTGTTGATATTCTAATTAAGAATGATTGTTAAACCTTGTTTATGTTCTCATGATGTAAATCCTGAATACTTTGACTACGTTCTTCATTGGAACGTATTAGTCACGTGACTTCTCACGGTTATACATACTCCAGTCGTTAACGGTCTCGGATGTTGTGTGGACACACGAATTTGATTTCAAAATTTCGGTTTTTCGTTAACGGCTGTAACCTTCTGATAAAGCGTAAAAACCGCAACATTGAAACGTGAAAAGAAAAGAAAAAAAAACAAAAAACGGTAAGTCCCGGATGTTCTTAAAACATTTCTTGTTTCATGACATGTCAGTGCTTAGTTTGTTTGTTTAGTATCAAGAGCACGTGCCCGTGAACCGTTTTTTGAATCTTTTCAGCTTTGAGTTTTTCATACAGTGATGAGAAATAAAGAGATCCCACATTTGTCTTCATCACTCTTCAAAATTATTTGTTGTTGTTGTTTAAAGTCTAGAGAGCCAGGTCAGAGTATCGTAAGGGTCAGGTATAACCACCCCTAATTTAGAGATTCTCACCAGAGAGATAAAAGCAACAAGAATACCACCCCCCTCCCTCCTTATATGGCTACTCCTATCCAAATAGTAAGATCGAATATTCAGTTAAAATTCTCCACAGGTGAATGTATCGAGCGTCATCGTGGCTCGAACCTTGGACCCGGCACATCAACTGCTAGGCCACGCTCAGATCTTTTTGTTTGTGCATTAATTCCACAGTTCATTGTAGAAAATAGCGTTAAAATAGAAGGTAACTGGCATTAGGTGACGATAAGGTTTACAAACATGTGACAAACATTTACACCAGATAAAATCAGCGCACGTGCACATGGAGTCTGTCCTTCGTTTTCCATCTTGAAGAGTTTACCCCCCCCCCCCTCCAGTAGTATATCAGTTTAGACAGAAGACCAAATCAGATCTGGGGAACTTTAACAACACTCAACTTCTTTACCCATTCTGTTAGGGGAACTTTATTGCGACCCTCCTTCTTTACCCATTCTGTTAGGGGAACTTTAACA